GCTGGCTAAAGTACGGTGGAATTGTAACCCGAAGGAATACACGGACCGGTTTGCGGCTGTAGCGGAGCGTGGGTTGGGTTTTGCCCCCGACGAACTCGCGGACTATTACTGCACCAGGCTACCGACAGACCTCCATCTTCTAATAACAATAACGGACAAGTGAAATATCAGTCGTGGGAACAAGCGGCGACCGCCGCAACACGGCTCTACGAGCCCAAACAGAGTGTGCTGGAACTCCGAGAAAGGACCAGTCGAGCCATTAGGGCTGCCGTCCAAGCTAATGGACCTCCTGGGCGCCAGGAAATTGAAAATCGCTCTGGGGGAACCCACGCGAACTGCTTTGAGTGTCAGGGTCTCGGACATCCGGCACGTGTCTGCCCCAGCAAAGGGGGACGTACCAGACGTCCGGGGGAAATCTGCAAGAAGTGTGGCGGTGTGGGACACTATGCTAGGGACTGTCCTACGTATGAACGAGTCCGGCCCGAGTCGCAGGACAAGAGCAGTAGGGCTCCCACCCGTCCTAGCACTGAGAAGACGGAACGATTAAACGTGCGGGCGTAGGCGTGGTTGAAGACGAGCGTTCTAGGCCGCGTAGCCATGGCAAAGGGTAGATGTGTGTGGCAGCGACAGGCCCTAATGCCATTCCAGTCTCCCTTGAGTGGGGGAGCGAACTCTTCCGCACTGCGGGAAGAACTAATACGAGCGATGGGCACGCGGAAGGGACTCAGCCGCTTTCGGAAACGCCGCGGGAATCTGGGTCAGCGTCGATCCTGAGTGAAGAGACTCCGGACGCGACGACGGATGGCAGCAGGAAGTCTGCAGAGGCAACAAAAGACGGCTATAGGTCAGATGTGACAGAGGTTGTGCCACACTGGTGGAGGGAGACTTGCACGAAAGAGCCTTACGACCAAGGGGGAGCGTTGTGTTGTGTGGGAGCGACGGCGGTAGTTCGCGTTGAGCTCGCAGGGAGTCCTTGTGAGGCTCTCTTGGACACTGGGGCTTCGAGAAGTTTCATTAGTCCTAAAACAGTCGAACGACTGCAACTGAAAGTGCGGAGACTTCCAAAAGAGCATAGGTTCACCGTAGCTAGAGGTGCACAACTACGCATTGATCGGATTGTGACGGGATTGACGATGTGGTGCGGACATGCACGTTTTTCCGGGGACTTTTTAGTGGAACCCGTTCCCTATGACTTAGTCTTGGGTTTGGATTGGCTGACGGAACACAAGGTGGCGTGGTGTTTTCAGTCAGACAAACTCCGAACCTACGTGAATGGCCATTGGTGCGAGTTACCGGTCGTTCGGACTGGTGAAGCAAAGCTGCGAGGTGACAGTCCCACTGTAGTCCACCCAAGGACCCCAGCAAAGCAAGCATATGAGATACTGGCCAAACAAGTGGCGGGTATGTCACCCGAGGAGGCAGCTATATTCCTACGCCCGCCTCCAAGGAGGTGTAAGTCCCATGCGAAGACTAAGGCGAAGGCGCGGATAACGTCACTCGTTCGTCAGGGGCCGGCTGAAACGAAGGATCTCAGCGCTCCATTTCACGGTTTGCATCTCATACTGGCTTTGCCCGAAGCCGGTTCGGCAGTGCCCCTAAGGCTCCCGGATGAATGGCAAGGCGCGCTTTGTTGCGCGTTAATTGGGAATCAACCCACGTCCTCCGGCTGGCGTAGTCCTTTGGCCTCAACCGCCTCGGTGGCAGCGGAGAGTGACGAGGAGTCTCCCTGACCTATGGCAAAACTGGATCACACTCTCTTCGACGAATGGATAACTTCGCCAGAGGCGCAGGATATTCCATGTGAG